GGGGGGGGGGGGGGGGGGTTACAGAGGGCCCTTGGTCCTTTCCCCTTTCCAAAATGCTACTGTTCAAGCCATTCCTCCCAACTCCTGTGACAAGCTCTTGCCTGTTTTTGCTTGCCAGGTCCCGGAAGATCAGCTTGCCCAGAGGATCTCACTACTGAAAAGCTGCTACTGGAATCTGGAGAACCTCCTGATTCAGATAGCCTGGGCATCAGTTTGTTGCTTCATCTGGGTTGTGTCCTGCATTGTTCAGACCCTGGAAGCCAGCTACAAGCAGGCTGCCCAGATGGCCAGAGACCAGACTGAAGAAGACAAAAAGGAGACAGCAGGGGCACTGCTGATGACCTCTCGCTCAGCTCTTCTCCCAAGGCAGGAATTGCTGAGCTAGCCAGCATTCACTAAACATTGCTGGAGGATATCTTACTTATGAGCATTGTGCATTTTTTTCAGGGGTCAGAGTGAGATGGGGTAGCCGGTTTCAGCGGTGTGCACAGTGTGACGCAGTTGGGGGTTGACTTCAGTGCCTCAAAGCACCTCTTCCGATTCTTGAATCAGATTTTGGAGAGGGGCACTATCAGTTTGGGGATCTTGTTGCAATGCCTCTTCAGACCTGGCAGACAAGCAGCTGACAGCCACCATTTTGTTTTCCTCTTCTGTTTCCTCCTCCGTTATGCTATTTCCTTTCAGTGTAAGCAACATTATGCAACCCATAGAAAGGGAGCAAGAACCAATAAGCCAAAGAAATTAAAAGTCTATGCTAAGAAAAGAAAATTAAGATGATTTTCATTCTGGAATAGAGGAGGACAGGCTTTAACTTTTTTTTGGTATATGATACTTCTTCGGGTATTTGAAGAATGCTATGATATCACTCCTCAGTTCCCTTGGTCTCTTCGTAAGCCTTGGTTTTCCATCTTCTGACCATCAGCATTGGTTTGTCTGCATGCTTCTTAAAATGTGATGCTCAGAACTGGACACCACACTCAAGGTGTGGCCTGATCAATTCAGTATATAAAGGCACTGTTATTTTATTTATTACATTTATTTATATACTACCTTGTCCTAAGACTCCAGGTGATTTACAGCTTCATATACAAGGAAACTCTAAAATCAAATAAACATTAACACATCCATAAAACTAATCTCCAATAACATCAGATAAAATCATAGCAACTCTGGCAGCCGTTGCCACCACAAAACTCAAACACTGAAGTGCCATTTAAAAAGGGTCTTTACTAATAGGGAAGCAGGCTGGTGCACCACCACAGAGAAGGCCTACTTTCAGGTCCTTGCCCACTTTACTTCTCAAGAGAGCAGGACGCTTCTCTACAGGATTTCACAATTTGGAAAAGATGACCCCTAAAATAACCCAGAGGTATGCGGTAAGGACATTTTGAATTGTGCTCAGAAGCCTCTTGGCAACCAGTGTAGTGACATTATTGGTGTTATGTTGTGGTGTCAGGTTTACACTCGCCATTTGCCTGGCTGCTGTGTCCTGTGCCAACTATAGGTCATCAGTTGTCCTCAGAGGTAGCCCCACATGGAGTGTGTGGCAATAATCATCTGAGCTGCAGTTGGCAAGGTTTCTTTGTCCAGGAAGGGTTGTGTCCAACAGTCAGCTTTGCAAGGTAGTCCAGACAAGAAACACACCAAGGAGTACTAGCTCTATCTTTATTGTAAGGTTACATTAACAGAATCTTGCAAGTCTGAAGTACATTTCTTCCCTCTTGCCATTACAGCCGAAGAAACTAGGGAGGGTCCCTTCTGAGATGTTTGCCATGTCCCCATTGCTTCTAAGGGCTCAGCTGCCTCTTATCTGACTTGTCTAGGCTGTGGCTCTTCCTCCTGTCTCCAGAGGTCATTTCCACATAGCATTAACACCAATGCATTAGCCTGCACTAACATTGAAACTGCTTCTACTGATGCAGCCTAACATTACATTTGCCTTTTTAGCAGTCACTTCACACTGCTGACACTGCTTGTGATCAATTAGAGTCCCAAGAGTTTTTTCATGTCCAGTTACCAAGCCATCTACCAGCTATCCTGGACTCATGCATTTGATTTTCTTCCTCTAAGTGAAAAACGTTGCATTTTTCTCCATTAAACTTCATTCTGTTTTTTTTTTAATCCACTTTTCTAAATGATCAAGATTCTTTTGAATTTTGTTTCTATTTTTCAAAATATTAGTTTTCCTATCTGGTTTTTGGTCTTCCACACTTGTTAAGCATCTCCTCCACCACTTTGTCAAAGTAATTAATAAAAATCTTGAAGACAAAATCACACCCTGGATGATTTGGAGCCCATTAGTCCCTCTGTCAGCTTCACCTTCTTTACAAACCATTTGTGAGGTTAATATTGCCTGAGTTCCAGGGGAAAAAGACAGGATCAATATCTGAACACTGGGGAAGCTTCTATTTTTCTCCTTCTCTTCACTCCAGCGATGTTAATCTCCTTTTTCTTCTTAGCTTACTACAGATATTTATCTGCCAGTAAACTTCAAGACACCTCTGGAGTCCATGTCAACCTCCTTCTTCCAACATTTTGAAAGGTTTGTTTTAGGTGCCAACACTATACTGGTATAGTGGTTATCATATGTTTGAGCATATCTTTCCCGTGCTATTTATTAACATTTTTACTGCTTTTAATTTTTATTTTTCACCTTTGTTACCAATCTGCCAAGGCTGTTAGACAAGATTAGAAGTATAATAATTATACACTATAATCTGTAACTCCTGTTCTGCCATAGGTGACAGCCCTTGACACACACACAAATCCAGTTTCTTCTAAAGGCACAGACAATTCCCACCTCATTCTTTCTGGCAGGTTTTTTCTCTTCCAGCAGATCTTTATGGCGGAATACTGTTACCAGCTCCACTTTGGAATTAATTTACATTGTTGTCATCCACATTTCTCTCCAGAAACATTAAAGACCATTCAGGATGTTCTAGGTTATTATGGAGATGTCACTCAATTACAACTCCAGGAAGAATGGCCAATGATGGATTGGGTAGGGCTGTAACTCAACAAGACTAGCACTGCCTCCCCCTGTGCTGGTGGAGAAAACCAGCTGTAAGCGACTACTGAAGCTAGCAGTTTCATATGGAGGAGCAACACCTTATGACAGTGTTTCTCAGCCTCGGCAACTAAGATGTGTGGACTTCAACTCCCAGAATTCTCTAGCCAGCAAAGCTGGCTGGGGAATTCTGGGAGTTGAAGTCCACACATCTGAAAGTTGCCGAGGTTGAGAAACACTGCCTTATGATGTAAGTGTGACAAGCCACAGGATGTCTTAAAATATTCTGGATCCAAGCTGCTGCTGAGATTTATGAAAAATTTGGGTTGATATATTCTAACAATTCCATTCCTCAAAGGAGTGCCTCAAAGAGCAACAGTCTGCTTACTGGCCATGAGGGGGCACCATTCTCCACCAATTCCAGATATCTGTAGATTGAAGGCCTTCCTTTCAGCAAATTCTTAGTAAGTCATCATTCCACTATTGGCCTTCCTTATACCGGGTAATAATATAATCTATACCCTAAATTCCTGTTGTGTTCAGTAACAAACTTCAAATAGACCAAGAACAGTGTCCCCAAGGGAGCAGGGAGGAGTTGCAGCCCTCTGAGAGTTGTGAAGATCAAGCAAGCATGCAGTCGGGATGTGAAGATCAAATCCACATTGGGTGGCTCTGAGGGAGGGCAGGACCAAGCCAGACTCAACAATATGATTTGAAGCAGCTGGAAGCCATATAAGTTGCAAAGGATTCTGGATCTATTCTAAGGCACTCAGTTGCTGATAGAACATTTTAATTCCCAAAGAGGCTGTTTCAGACATTCCAAGTATTCCAAAAGCGACTGACCTTAAATCAAGGCATGATGAGTATTCCAGAAATGATAAGAGCAGCCCATTTTGGGGTTGGAATATTTCATGACAGAACATCTTGCACGTCCTTACTCATGGGATACATGGACTAGGTCTTTGGGGACCTTATTTTCGGTCTGCTTGAGATAGATCATGTGTTAGATCCAGTAGGGCCCATTCGTTCTTGTTAGTACAGATCATGAAGAATAGAACCTCCTTGTTCTTAGCAACATTACCTGAGATTCTGGGGATGTAGAATGGGAATGAACTGACTGCATTCATGATCTACTTGTGGGTTTTCTGGAGGTATTCTGATATCAGTAAAGACTCTGGAAAATAGGATGCTGGGCTGGCTGGCTGCAGCCAGGGTTCCCACACGAGCTGGAACAAACATGGCTCAAAATGTTGATTGTTTAGTTGTCTCGAGTTTCAGAATCTGACAATTCAGCAATAGAAACACAACTTTTAGATAAAAAAAACTTTGCAACCAGACCTTTTTGGTGCCTGAAAGCTGATGGAGATTCTGCCACTATTGCAAAACATCTGGGAATCAAAATCACAAAATATCTGAACAATATTTAACCAATGTTATTTAAAAAAAAAAAAAAATTGTGAAGGGCTCAGGGAATTTACAATGCATTGTTCAATGCATTGTACATTGAAATATTTAAAGCAGCACAGCGCCCCCTAGTGGCCCATGCATATCTTTGCACATTTCCAGGTGTGCCATTCTCCGCGGAAAAGAGACGCTGCTACTCTCTCTCCCAGAAGCGCATTAGTGGTGGAGTTCATGCAGGCTGCAGCTCCCACATCACTTTAGCAGCTGGCAGAGGGATAAAAAAGCGTCTTCCTTCCCCATCCCACTGCAGGGCTCAGCTGGGTTTCCAGCACTTGGATCATGCTGAAATCTGCAATCATCCTCCAGGCCAACAACTCAGCTGTGCTCTAAAACCCTTTCTTTAATAGCCTGTTTCACACGTTTCACTCTGTTTCCATCGCTAGCCCAGGCCGCAAGCCCTCTTGCGGTACAAACACAGCAGGAAGCACATCATCTAGCCCAGCTCCTCTGTATCTATCACTTCACTGGCTCAGCTCCCAAGCAGACATTCCTGGACTGGCCCCTCCGACAGGCCGGGCCTTTGCGGAGAAATTCTCAAATTAGCTGGTGCTTTCCTAGACACCATGTTCCCAGGGGCTGGCGCTCAGCTTGGGCGGCCGCAGCTGTGCAAACAGCTCTGCTTGGCTCCGCTGTGCCATTTGGCTGGGGATTCGGTCAGCGCTGGGAGGGGGGCTGGAAGGGAAGCCAAGCTGAAGTCTCAGATGCCCTGGTGAGGTCCTGGCGGGTTCACTTCTTCCATTCACAGCACCTGCAAACCCTGGCGCATCGCCTGCCAGGTACAGAACCTCAGAGGAGATGGCTGCCAGGCAAACCACACATTTCTCTGGGGTGGGGGCACTGGGAACTGGTTGGAAGCAACTTGGAGGGCCCAGTGAAAAAGGGCCTTTCCAGGGAGCGTATGGATTAAATGTGGGCCTTAATATAACGAGGACCTTTTTTCAGATATACTGTCTGGATTCACACAACACATCTTACCTGGCTTCTGAATTGATCTATAACCATAAATTAATCACATGGCCCGAGTTTAACAACATACTAAACCATGCACACCCACAAACATACCAAGACTGCATGTTGGGTGAATGCAATTGCTAGAATTGTAACTGACCAGGTTGAATCGGTTATGCAAATCCAGCCATGTGTTCTTTTATATATTATATTTATATCCTGCTTTTCTTTCAAGGTGGGGATGGGCAACCTTTTTTCTATCAAAGATTCTGCTCCATGGAAGGGGGCTTATATCCAACATGGTATGTGTGGCTGAAGCAAATACTGTAGCAGTGGGGCCACAACCAAAAATGAATGGGAACCCATCCTTTTTCTTTCTGATATCCTGATTTCTTGTTTTCTCTTTGCTTTTGACATCTGCTTCATCTCTTTCCCAGGCAGCAGGCTGTGAAGAAGGAAAACATAGGGCTGCTCTCTTGCAAAGACTATAGAGATTCCAAGCAGAGTTGTGCATGGTGAAGGTGTTGGCCATGGATTGAGAGAACCAGGTTTAAGTCCCCACTCAGCTATGGAACTCAAGGGTCAGTCGCTCTTTCTCAGCCCAGTCCACCTCACAGGGTTGCTGCTTGAGGGGAACATTAAGAGAGGGCCCTATTTAAACTGCCAGGGGAAAAAAATGGGTATAAAAATGCCACTTATCAATGAAGTGAAGCATTACATTGAATTAGTCAGAGCCCACCTGAGCTCTTTAAACTCAAGTTTGCATTTATATCCTTCCCATTTAATCCTCGGAATAACTGTCAGATGAATAAGGCTAAGAAATAGTGACAGTACTCATAGAACACTCTATTTACAAAAAATAGTAAACCCATTTTTTGAGTTCAGAAAATACACTGGTACCTGACGTAATCAAATGGATAGACAGTACACAAGGCACTAAGCCACAAAATTAAAACCATGGTTAGCACTAATCAAACATAACACAGTGTACAAATGCAGCTGCTAGATCTTTAACTGACCTAGTCAAGCATGGCGTGTGAATACAGTAACAAATCCTAATCAACCATTGAACTCCATGGCTATGAGAGATTTCAGCCTGGGTTTTCCTGTCCTGGTCCAATATACTGACAATGCCACATTAGAGGACCAACTGTGATATCGACTTAACCATCGTTTGATCAACTGATTCAGTTTTCTACATTTGCAAAAATCCCTGAATGATAAAATACCACTCTGGACAGAACAGCATGACACACTAGCCCAATGTGGTTTAATGTGATTATTTAGTCTGTGGCTCAGTGGTTGGGTTCATACAATATGCTAAACCTTAACCTTGGATTAAAACAATGCAATTGCTGCATGCAGGTACCATCCTAGGCTCAAACAGATGAATCTCATTATGGTTTAACCTGATGGCCTACTTCATACAACAGGTTAAGCAAAGCAAAGAAGCCTGGGTGGTTTCTTGCCCCAAAGGTCTCATGTTGCTAAGGAAGAGCAAATACTCCTTTGGGAGTCATTTTCCAGGAGCTTCTGAAGCTTGTTTAGGTGAAGAGAAGGTCTGCAGATCTGTGACAATGTCTGAAGGAGAGATTGGAGCATTTGGTTGCAACCACTTAGCCCTTTTTCATTCTGATAATGGGTGGTTGCATCATGATAGGAAACATGGGAGAAAAGACATGTGCCTGGGTGAGCAAATCATAAGAAACAAACACCTCTCAAACTGTTTCCCATCCTTTGTCCTTAGCCTCAGTCTTCAGTTGAGGGAGCATCTGGCTTGCAAACATCAGTAATGATTTGGTGAAAACTCTCTAGGCAGGAGCTCTGGGTTGCTAACACAGAGTCTCTAAGGACTTTTTGTTTTATCCAAAGGCATGTCTTGGCTCAAATCTTTACTGCCACAAGAAGACTTGTATAGGGCAGAAATACCATAAGATTGGAATGACCTCATGTTCTTCCAGCCCCAGAAATAACTCTCAGCAGCATTCTGAGGTATGATCTAGAGTTATCAGATGCCTTAGAGAAGCATGGTTTGGGGAGAAGAACTTTGCTTAGGGGCCTGATCTACCAGGAAAGGATCTGGAGCTGGACAAGAGCAAAGAAGTTGGAGCAGTTGAACTCCA